ACAAATGACCTTAACAAGCCCATTTAAAACCGATCATCCTCAAAACTGGGCCCACTTACCGCCTATGCCAGCCCCGACGCACCAAACGCTCTCATTTCTTGGGAGCATAGTATCTGTAGTGATTCAGAGATGATCCTACATGCTCAAGGACCAACACATCCACATAAAGATTGTGTAGGATGGAGGGCAGAATTATCAATGTGTTGGGAATCAGCCATAGCGGCAGAGTCCATAATACAATAATGCTACTAGATCAGATCGAGAGTCGCATTAAATTTGATGATTGTTGAAAAAAGGATTTAGCCACAATCTAGTATTTTAATCTATTTAATTACCTTACTCGACTCTAAGATATATAACGAGCCACATACAGGCTCATCAATCTGACGTGTCGAAACATAGATGTAGATATATATCCACTTTAAAGACGGAGTATATATTTGACATGAACAATATTGAACGTGTGTATGCTCATATAAAATTCAATATACTTGATTAATTAGAATTTTGAGCATGGTGAAATATAATTAAAAACTAAATTAAAAGAGCATCGGTTCTTTGACAACGAAATTCAGCTAGATTTTTTACTTCATGGCGCTACTATTTAAAGTACTCCCTCCGTCTCATAATGTAAGACGTTTTTTGACACTACACTAGAGTGAAAAAATGTCAGACATTATGGGACGGAGGGAGTACATTGTAAAAGGAAAAGGAATAGATATATGAAGTGGTCTATCCAAGCACAAAGGTGGATGAGGAGTGGCTCCGTCTTGATGGAATGGCGATTAAATTGATGGTAGAGATCCATCGACCTCGGTACAAGTCCAAAATTCTTCTTAAGGTGGGAGCGATTGCCATCATATGTTCACTTGACTATTTAGAAATGATAAATTGTTTCATGATTAAAATCACATATGTTGATCATCATGTACTATACCAACATCTAGAGTCTTAACTCAAAACATTTAAAATTAGTTAATAATTTGTTTGTTTGCCACCATATCTCCTTATAAATGATTGCTTATTAATAATTAGTTTGCATGGTATCAAAATATTAATTTAAACACCATTCAGATTCTGAGTAGTAAGAGCACCTCCACCGGTAGCCCCCAACCCGCCCCCAACCGGTTTGGGGGTTGCGGCCAAAATCTGGCCCACACCGGCACGCCCCAACCGCTGCCAGCGGTTAGGGCCTCCATGCAAGCTGTCCGGCAGCCCGTAGCCAGCCCCGGCAACCAGGGGCTGGGCTGGGGGTGCGGGCAACGCACGACAGTGTGGCCACGCCGGACAGGGCATCTCGCCTCCCCACGGGCCCGCTTGGCAGCCTCCCAACGCCCCGGTCAGTGAAATCAATCAACGTGACCGCTCACTGGCGGGTTGACATGGCTGCTCACTGGGACGGCTTCAGTTGTCGGTGATGCATGACGGCGCCGCTCCCGAGCGCCGGAGTAATGGACTTGTGGCGCTCCGCCTTCCTACGACGCCCTTAAAAGGGCCCCGTGTCCCTCTCACCGCTGCACTCCCCTCCACATCCTTCCCCATCCATGGCGAGCCTGCCAATGCTGGACCACTCCCACCCAGTAGGACGGCGAGGCCAGCTCCTTAAAAAAGAGGAAGCACCGCTCCAAGCCGTGCAACATGGTTAACATGCGCACCGAGCTCGCGCGCACGCTCTGGGAAGCGAAGAAGGCGGTGTTGTGGCCGGATGTGCACCTGCCGATGGTTTCGGTGCTCTCCCGGTCACGCATCCCTGTCCATCTTGGCGAGCGCATCGGCGACGCGTCTCCCCCGCCTCGTCGCTTGTAGAATCGCCGCCGTTGCAGTGGGGGGAGGGCTACAACACATGTCGAGCCCATCACTGACGATGACGACGGTCCCACGCCGCCACGGTGGGGTGAAGGAGGAGGCCGAGCCCGTCCCTGACATGTATGCGCACGGTGCCGCGAGGAGGAGGAGGAGGACGAGCCCGTCCCCGATGACGGCATCCCCTGCCCCAAGCCCCTGCGTATGCTGCCTCCTCCGGCGGACTTTCCCCCGGAGCGTGCGTTCCAGGTGAACCAAGTCGACATCGACTAGGGGAGTGCGTGTGGTGGCCGGCGGCGGGCGTCGGTGCAACCTAGGCCTGGGAAGCTAGGTTTCTTTTGTTTTATTTTGTATTTATGTATGAACTTGCTGGTGCCGGGATCTTGTGGTGCCGATCTTGTTCCTTGCTATCTATCTATGAAGTTTATCTGCATTTTATTTGTGTGGTATTTTTGGATTGTTATCATTGGGGATCTCTGGTGGGGGGAGCGGCCCCCAAACTGCCGCGGATTTGGGCGTTGGTGCCCAACAACGTTGCCGGTGCGGTTGCCAGTCAAATTTTGGGGGTTACCGGTGTAGGTGCTCCAGACGAGCAGCAATAGTTTTGAGTGAATCAGGGGCTGCGGAAACCTGTGCGTCCAGCTAACTTTGCAAGCCGAGTTTAAATGCTAATTGCTTTGCGAGCTCGGCAACAAGCAAACACAAAAAAAAAAAAAAGACGAAGAAGAAGAAGAAGCGTACGACAACAGTAAAGTAGCACATTTTTATGAACTAAATATGAAATGGTTTGCAAGCTTGGCAAGAAGCAAACGCAGCAGCAGACATAAATCGTATGTGACAACATCAATTTAGCACACACATATGTATGGCCAATCGTATGCGCCGTTTCCAGTGTTGCACATGGGTCTTAAACCCAGTGTGTGTTCACGGCCCATCCTCACCAATCACTAGAGACGGTTAAGCAAATCGTGCGCAACGTCTATCCAGTCTCCACTGTGGAGGCCTTTATCGCAAAGAAAAGGCAGGACAACTGAAATAATAATTGATTTCACTTATCCAGTCTCCACTGTGGCAGCACATAAGTGTGTTGGAGCTCCACACTGGCAGCAAGTGGAGACATTTCATTTGCCCCCTTTCAAATAAAGGTCGATCGGGTAGAGCTCGGCACAGGGTCTGCCCATATCAATTATACGCGTATAGCCACGGGGTAATTTCCGGGTATAACCAATGACCAAAGCATGAAAGCATTAAAAAAATGGGAATCCTTATGGAACAAAGGATGAAAATCTCGGGTTGCTCAAAATGAAAGTCACAGCAGTTTGGGTGTGTGAAAGAACCCAAATAATAATACAATGGAGTGCTCAAAAGTGTGCTTATTTTGATAGAAAACCATGCGGTATGATTCAATAGTAGACGAACCACCCCAAACCATGTATGCATTCATTCATGGGTAGACTTCAATGATGGACCGATGTCCCACTGGACTGATCTTATAGTCCCCAAATCCTGCTTCAACGAACATCTTCTTCCACTGCTGCTCGTCTCGTTCGACCCCATCGATGCCCATCATCATGATATCAAATAGAACTTGTGTCTCCTTAAGAATAACATTCTGTGACGCCCCAGAATCTACCACGCCATCGAAGATTATCACCTTCCCTCCAGCTGGTATAGCTTCCTTGCACCGGCGTAGTACCTTGACGGCATCTTCGTCTCGCCATATGCATAGAATCCACTGAGAAGGAATGAACAACAACACATATAGTAGGTACATACGTACGTATATGTAATTCAATTGAATGAAGAAATAGCATAGTATATGTCCTACTGTTGTGTACCTTGAGAAGGATAGCGTCGGCTGGTGGTATGTACTCAAACACATCGCCAGCAACAAACTGGACGTCGCGGCTGGTAGGTGCGCCAGCAATCACGTGTGGGAGGTCTAGCACAGTGCACTTGACGTGTGGGAGGGCCTTGGAGATTGCTGCGGCTGCGGCACCATGGGCACCGCCCGCATCAACAAGCGAGCTCACCCCCTTAAAAATGCCCATGTGGTCTTTGAGGACTACCTCCATGACGAGGTTGGTGTCGGCGACCATGGCGGCCTGGAATATGCCACCTGTGCCCTTCTTGGCTTTCATTTCCGATGGTGTGCAGCCATGCGCCACCTCAAATAGTGTCATGGCTGACGCCTGCTCGTCGGTGAACCACACTTTTATGTCGAAGAGCATGGTCAGCTTCAGCAGTTCGACAAGCAGAGGCACCATGGGAGACAGGTTGCACATGCTCTCGCCTCCTTCGACAAGGACGCTGGAGACAAGAGTGAGCTTGTACCCGGCATCATTGTCATAGCCTTCGACGGAGAAGATGCCCGTGACGGTGAGCGTGTGCATCAGCCGACGGAGGTGGGAGTACTTGCTTGGGTGGATCCCAGTTTCTGTGGCAATGTCAGACAACGTGGCCACACCACCGTGGCGATGGATGGCATCCGGGATGCCTAGTTCTGCGGCAGCCCTGAGCGCCGCAGACTTCACGTACCCCAAGGAGTGGTGGTAGAGCTCAAGTTGAGCTTGGATCAAGCCCTCTGTGGCTGTGCTTATCGCATTTTTGTGTTGCATTCCTGACGCCATGATGTGTGTTGTGTGCCAAAAGCTCCCTTAGTCCTAAGGGTTCTTATAGACGTGTGTGCATGGGAGGAGGCAGGATTGAAAATTAGTGGGGGCCAAAGCTGATAGATTTCTATTAGGGAGGCCAAATAAGCTAACTCTTCTAGAAAGTTCTGTCTAAATTAGCCTTAACTAAAAAAATCAGGTTTACAATTTCATAGGAGGGGTTAGCATGGCCCCCCTTGCTCTGCCACTGGTCTGGGGTTTCCTTCGAGCCTTCTCCATGCTAATTCCTTCCGCTAGCTTGGAGTCTGTCTACCTAACGAAAAAAATAGCGCGCTATAACCGCGCTATAGTGCCATTATGGCGTATTTGGAATGGAAACGCTATATTTTAGCAAATTCAGCCGCTATAGCGCTATTCAC